GTTGTCAAAATTTGGTAAGCCCTCGCCCTTCTTCCAAATACGAGCTCCTGGCTTAGTGATTTTATCTCTGACAATGTGCACCTACAAGACAAGTCTGTGTGAGTTTATGAGGAGTCTTTTTTTATACTGCAAATACTTCAACATATGGCAACAGGAAGATATTAAAGAACCACAAAAATATATTAATAAATTCTTTTAAACTCTGTATTATGATACATTATTAAGTCACGGCTTTTAGTTGTGTGAAATGTGAAATGAAATCAATATATATTACACAAATTAAACAAAACATGCCTTGTGACCATCTAAATGAGTGATGTCCATCTCAAAACCGACCAGAGCCTCTACCAGAGAGACGGTGACGTTTGTATAAAGGTCGTCACCTCTGCGCTCAAACACCGGATGCCTGGACAAGATGAAATTTGCATGTGATAAACTGGAAACAGTTCATAAATTCTCACTCTTTAAGACAGATTCATTAACCTAAATGATATTATACATTAAGAAAAAAGTTTGATTCACTGTTCTAATTGCTATAATTTAATACTCTTACTTTAAAACTTTGATGCGGAAACGCAGATCTCCAGGCTCACCATCAATGTGAGGTTCACCTGTAGTCAGTCAAACAACATATATGCCACATTGTATAAATAATATGTTGCAGCATCTAGCTAATTCATACAAATAAATGTTACTGTATTGAGTTATGCATATAATTATTTCCTATACCTTCCCCAATGAAAGGGTATTCCATCTCATCTCTCACACCCTGCTCGATCTCCACCTCTAGTGTTCTCTCTTCATTCACAAGCCTGGTAACAATGATACAGTCTTTAACAGAAAATCATAGTATGTCCTAGTGAGTCAAAGTGAGAGCGATCACTGGGCAAACTTACTTGATATTGGGGCACTCATCACAGACTACTTCTTGTGTCATCTGGAAGCGACCTGGTCCTAGCTGTGTGGTTCTCATTTCCTGCCGGCAGTTGCATTTTCTTTTGCCTGGGGCTTCTTTTGCTACAGGTTTGTTTCGCACCACCTGCATGTTGAAGAAGAGAGGAAACAGAAGGACAGGAAAAAGGAAAGGAGAGTGTCCATATCTATGTGACTATGCATGTACACTGCCAGACGAAGCCTATAGAAGTACACAAAGAGTCTGAATACTACAGTACATCAGGAAGGAAATGGAGAGGGTTTAAGAACAAAAAAGAAGCTCACCTCTACAAAATTCCCTGAATACACCTCTTCTAGGGTTACTTCAAGGTCCAGTACTATGTCATTACCCCTCGGAATATCTCGGCCAGCTGGCTGCCTATTTCCACCGAACATAAATCCAAAGTCGCCAAAGAAACTTGAAAAAACAAAACACATATTTGAATATCACTGGAGTCAAATATTGTATGAATGCGCAGTGACAGTACCAACAGTTTTGTTTCAAATGGGCATGCATCTGAAATGAGAATACCAACTATGCATCAGACATTTGCAAATCTATACTAAAATCATACAACATTCATGGGAAATTTTACAAACATTTCAGTAGTTAACTGTTGAAGAAAACTCTTAAATTAAGCTGAGGCTTACCTGGAGAATATATCACCGTGTGAACTTTGATGGCCTTCTTTTAACCCCTCCTCTCCATATGCATCATACTGTTTCCTTTTCTCTTCATCTGAGAGCACCTATGATTAAAAAGCACCTTCAGAAAATAGTCTTTACACCCTGAAAAACGCTGTGAACTCTTAAGGGGCAATATTTGCACCCTGAAGATGTTTTTAGGGGAAAATTCTGTTTAACACAAAACACACAGGTTAATATCTAAAGTCTAAAGCCATAATTAGATGTTATGAAATAAACAAAACGTTTAGAAAAAAAAGAGAGGCATTTTTGAAACCTCATTTTTTTTTTCAATTTTAGCACCCTGATTAATTTCTGATATGGTTATAGACAAATTAAAATGACACTCCTTTTTTTCTTCTTTTTTTTTTTTAAAGCAATCTGCTGAAAAAAAGTCTAATATTATATACTGAAATGTAAAAATTAATTTAAAATCGAATTTTTATAATTGTATGTAATATTTAAAATATTTATTTATATATGAAAGGTATAAATACAGCTCTATTACAATACTGTCAATATTATAATGGAGCCAACCACTGACTATTTGGCATTAAAAAGAAAATAATTTATTATGTAATAAGAATTCAATTTTGTACAGAGTGCACATCATTACAAGCTACACTAGAGGTCCGCGTCACTAATAACGTGAATAAAAAAATTAGCAGATGTTTCAACCAATCAGAAGCGGCCACACATTTCTTCCAACCAATCAAATCGCTCCATCGGTTCGTTTCTAACAACAACGCTCATGCTGGTCAAAATTACTGGCTTTTCTACTGATGTTTTGTTCAGGAAACATATGATAAATCTGTAATGCAATGCTTTAGTGACACAAAGCATCGCCAATTTAGATATTTGTAATAAAGTTACGCCTAATATTCGCATGAAAACTAAGTTATGTCATTCCCTAATGCACATCATTAATATCTATAATATTCGGTAAAGACATTATATTTGTTCAACACATGAAGCGTAACAGTCAAAACGCCAAAGATCCCACTAGAGAGGACTTGTTAAAACATAAACAATCATACCTCGTAAGCAGCTCCGAGGTCTGCAAATTTGTCTTGGGCATTTGGGTCATCTTGGTTTCTGTCTGGATGAAGCTGCAATGCTAGCTTTCTGTAGGCTTTCTTAATATCTTTAATTGATGCTGATCTACTTACGCCCAGAATTTTGTAGAAATCCCTCCTGAAAATACACATTACTTTAGAACTCGTACATTCAAACTATAGCTATATTGATACTGATGTATAATTATTTAACATCTATACATCTTGATGAGGAAATCAGCCAGAAGACAACAGTATGAAGCTTAAGATATTTATGAAAGAAATTTAGCATTTATATAAACGTGGCAACAATGACAAGTTATCAGCCTTGTTACGGTACAGCAATTTTGGATACTTTAAAAAACACTGTCCTATTTCGAACCCCAAAAAAAAAACATTCCGAGTTATGATTTAACGCATTAAAGTACAATAAATAAGAGAGGCGATATGAAGTAGTTTATGGCGAGCTTCACCAGCATGATGCATGGACAGTGGCGTAGACCAATCACAGTGAAACATGTGTACCAGCCAGAGTACTGACTTTATATAATGCACTAAACCTAAACCCTGAAAATAACACGATATTCACTTACCCAGCCAGCACTGTCAATATCAAATATAAAAGTAGAAAACAAACACTCGACAATTTCATTCCTCTAACAGCCATGGGTCCTTGTTTCTTTCAGAAGTCCAATAAAATACACCGGCTTTCTGTGATGTCTATCAAAAAGCCTCTTCCTGCTCTGTCACAAGTCCCGCCTCATTTTAAAAAGGAAGTGTTATAAAAGTTCAATAAAAAAAGTCTCATAATAACCCATCTAATTATATTATATTATATTATATTATATTATATTATATTATATTATATTAATTATATTATATTATATTATATTATATTATATTATATTATATTATATTATATTATATTATATTATATTATATTTTATTATATTTTATTATATTATTAGAACTGGTAAGCCAAATAATGAAGATATTTAATACAAGCAAGCGAATAAAAATTCAACTGCATTTCATACAAGGGCTACTATTAAATACAGAACTTTATTTTTTATTTTTTTTCAATTTATACTTTCCGTTTTATCGACATTGATTTTTTTTTGTTATACCCACCTGCAACTTTTATTTTTGTTCTTATATGCGGACAGAGAGCACAGTGTAGTTATTTAAGAATATGAACATCATGATAATATTTATGTGGATACCAGCTCATAGGGGGATAAAGGGTAATGAAAAGGTTGATGGATTAGCAAAACAGGCATTGGAAAACGAGGATATCATGAATATCTCACTTAGTGAAAGTGAAAGTGACGAAAGTGACGTGTGTGACCCAAACTAGGAATTAGTGCTCTGCATTTAACCCATCCAAAGTGCACACACACAGCAGTGAACACACACACACCGTGAACACACACCCGGAGCAGTGGGCAGCCATTTATGCTGCGGCGCCTGGTGAACATTAGTAAATATGAAGCAAAAGCAGTAATTAAAGCATATACCACTAAGGAGTGGCAACATAAATGGGATACAGGAAATACAGGACGTCAACTTTATGAAATACAGCGAGAAGTAGGAGTCGTGAGAATAACTAAAAGAAGCACCAAAGAGGAAAATATTCTAACAAGATTAAGGGTTGGGCATACTATGCTGAATAAAACCTTAAAAATAATAAATAAACATCCAACAGGATTATGTGAGCACGGTGGAATGGAGGAATCAGTAGGACATGTTATTTGTGTTTGTCAAAAGCATACTAATGAACGAGAAACAGTGAAGAATGAATTTAGAAAGATGGGAGTGGATAACCTAAAGCTTAAAAATATATTTACTTATTGACTAGAAAGTTTATTTTTGTATCTTAAGAGAACAGAGCTGATTAAGAGAATTTAGTGGGGAAAATCTTCTTGAGGTAAAGAAGAATTTTAATTTATTTTTTATTTTTTTAATTTAGTCTTTTTTTTTTTGCCCTCTTATTATGAAAGGGTAAACTCTGGTTCACACTCCAATACAGTAGGTGGCGATAATGCACCTTAACATTGGTGCTACCTGCCATAAAACCGAAGAAGAATTTCTTTTTCTTTTCTTTTCTTTTTCTCTCTCCTTCAAATCCCGCTTAAGAGGGCTGAGGGAGGATGGAGGAGCTGAACACGCAGCGCCGGATGAAGCTCTATGAAGTCTCTCAGCGGTACAAGAATCAAGGGTGTTTGTATGTGGGTTGGTAGGTTAATCAGGAGATTGTAGATAGAGTGTCAATGGTCCATTTGAGCTATAGGTGGCGGTAATGCACTTATAAGTCTGCGATCCGCCGTAAAGCAAGAAGAAGAAGAAGAAGAAGAAGCAGAAGAAGCAGAAGAAGAAGAAGAAGAAGTGTAGTTATATCCGGAAAGAAATGGCGTCTTTGGATAGGGTGAAAGTGTTGGTTTTGGGAGATTCTGGTAATACATCTTATCTAAATAATCTATCGTCGTTGTTTTTCCTGTAACCTCCTCAAAGATATTGTGAATGTAAATTTAAATTGTAAGCGTGTTGTCTGATATGCGACTCAAGCTAGAAGTATTAGCCTGCCACATTTGCTTGGATTTCTACAATATTACTATTATGTTCAACATTATTTGAGAATATTAAAGATGAGAAACCACACTTTCGACGTTGTTCTTTTTCTTTTAAAAATAAATACTTTGTGAGCCTCAGTATTCCTGTTCTGATCAGCGTTATTTTATGTCTGTTTACAGGAGTAGGGAAGTCCTCTGTTGTACATTTGCTCTGCCAGAATCAAGTTTTGGGGAATCCGTCATGGACTGTGGGCTGCTCAGTAGACGTCAGGGTACAGTGACAATTCGGAGTGATTTTTATTCATTTACTGTGTTATTATCGTAAACCTATATAGCAATCCTTGCCTTGCTTTTTATCACAGGTTCATGACTACAGAGAAGGCACTCCAGAAGAGAAGACATACTACATTGAACTCTGGGACGTTGGGGGATCTGTTGGCAGTGCCAGCAGTGTTAAAAGCACCAGAGCGGTGTTTTACAATTTTGTAAATGGTTAAGTATCAGACACACCATTAAAAGTGGTTCTTACATGTATACAAAGTAAAAAAGCATGCTGGAATATTTGTAATGACTCTACTTTAATGCTAAATCACTTCTCTTTTTTTCCCTTCTAGGCATTATTTTAGTTCATGATTTGACCAATAAGAAATCCTCTCAGAATCTGTACCCCTGGTCACTAGAGGCACTGAGCAAAGACTCATCTCCAACTGGCATCATTGTATCAAATGGGTGAGTCTTCTGGTTCTGTAAGGACGATTATATATCAAAATACAGTGAGAGAATACTTTATTTTGTCTATAAGGTCCTAGATATGTTCAAAGGAAATAATTCTGATGTTTTGCACTTGCAGAGATTATGACAGAGAACAGTTTGCAGAGAACTCAGTTCCACTCCTGCTAATTGGCACCAAATTTGATCAGATCCCAGAAAACAAGCGGAATGATGTCCTGACCCGCACTGCCTTTCTATCTGAAGACTTTAATGCAGAAGAGATCAATTTGGTGTGTGCTTTTCAGTGCTGTTAAAATATCTCAACCCAAACTAATATAATATTAAGCAAAAAACGTGTTTCCATTTGTTGTATTAAATCTCCTTTGGGGATTTCGCACTTATGAATTCGGAGCTTTAACCTGCTTTTCTTCTCAGGATTGTACAAATCCACGGTATCTTGCTGCTGGATCTTCAAATGCTGTTAAATTGAGCCGATTCTTTGACAAGGTAGAGACTTCAGTGAAAATAAAATGTGTATTTCCACTCTGATCCTAATGATTCTCTGTCCTGGTGTATATGTCTAATATACTGTGTCTCTGTGCAATACATTTTGTGTAAATTGTTATTTTGTCTCTTTAGGTAATAGAGAAGAGATACTTCACAAGAGACCCTAGCCAGGTGAGAGTGTGTAATTTCTCTTTTTGTATGTGACCACATTTGTGTGCACGTTTTGTTTTGTAATAATTTTAGATAATTACTTATACGATTCTAAATCAAACTGTAGATGTAATTCATTTATAATTTAATATAGAGTAATGCATTATTATTATTTTTATTTAATAGTCACATTTTTTTCCTCCTTAGATGCAGAGTTTCACCGACAGGAGGCGCTTTAATTTCAAAAGTCTGCATAACGATTGAGTGTACACATACTTTGGGTTGGTGGGTTTAGAACAAGCATATGAATAATCTTGTCATCATGTTCCTTTGCAGAGAGCAAACAGTTGGAGGGTTGTTTTTGAATGTTTTTTTTAACATTAACATCCAGCTTACCAAGACAGAAGGATTTATGTGAATTGATCATCACCTGCATTGAGATATTTGTATTTTCATATTTAATGGTAAAAAAATATGGACCCAAGGAAATACCCCTTCTCTTCCCTTGTCATGTTTGTTTACTGTTTGTAAAGATGATTTTCATGAGGTGAAATTTTTTTTTTTTTTTTTTTTTTTTTTTTTTTAAGTAAAAGTTCATTTAAACGATTTCTCTGTTTATAGTATCATTGCAGAAGATATGACAGGTTTTTTTTTTATTAAAAGAACCAGTTCTGCTTAATCTTCAGGATTAGTTACCAGTCATCTGAAGAAATTAATATCACAGATTTACTTTTTTTTTCTTTTTTTTTTATCTGTAAATTATAAATGATTCACAATTCTTTGCTATATTAGCAAGCTGTTAATATTGTGCATGTACAGAACTATTTACTTGAGACATCAACAATAAATAAAGATCCATTTGAATAAACTGTTTGGCGATTTCTCTGTTTATAGTATCATTGCAGAAGATATGACAGGTTTTTTTTTTATTAAAAGAACCAGTTCTGCTTAATCTTCAGGATTAGTTACCAGTCATCTGAAGAAATTAATATCACAGATTTACTTTTTTTTTCTTTTTTTTTTATCTGTGTAAATTATAAATGATTCACAATTCTTTGCTATATTAGCAAGCTGTTAATATTGTGCATGTACAGAACTATTTACTTGAGACATCAACAATAAATAAAGATCCATTTGAATAAACTGTTTGGCTCTTCTTTTTTCACTTCATTATACATATATTCATAATTATAAATCAAATTGTATAGTATTACTGGACAGACAAATATTTTCCGTTTGTGATACTGCCAATCATAAATTTCTGAACTGAAGTATCGCTGCTACATGATTCTGTATTCTGAGGTGAGCAGCAGTTTGCAAAACTTCCTGTGGCACCCTTTCTACATTTCCAGTTACATTAGCTGGTATTTTTTTCATCCCTCAATAATGTAGTTTATGTAATTTCTGGAAATCTAAAACATTTAGTCAGAATTTTTTTAAATAGCAAATGGTGTATTTGATTTTATGTTATTGAATTATCAACCTCAAAATGCTTTGGTGTGATTCAGACAGCTAGCAGCTAAGAAAGCACGAGATGCATTTTACTTCATATTAGCACCAACTCTTATGATCTCTGATATTCATCTGCCAGATAAGAGCTCTGGTCATTGCCCAAATAGGATTTGAACTTGTATTTCAAGTATTGAAAAGCTTGTGTATTTACAAGTGTAGTTGGTTGTCACTGAAAGGATCTACTTTTGATAAGACAGACAGTATATAACAGACATATTGACACCTTAATAATACTCTCAACTTTGGCTCAAATACACCTCCTCTAGTTTTCATATCACTCACCACAGGCTTGCACACAAACGGGGGGACTTTTCACAACATCACTCAGAGAGCAAGAGGTTTTGGCAGGAACAGACTAATTAGACAAGTATTAAGCAATCACACACCAACCCCTGCACAGTTAAAATAACCATTATTTGAAATAAAATCTGTGCAATATAGTTGTTGTGTTCTGCACATTTAAAAGACCATTAAGCAATGACTGTGAGAGTGTGAGTGTGAAGTATGCAAAACTGCAATCAGGCTACATGTTTTCGCTGTTGTTTAATGTAAAAACCCAATTTAAAATGAATTAATTATTTTAATTCATTCATTTTCATTTTCTTTTTAATCCAGGGGAGGAAGTAGGAGATTTTAACATAAACTTGAGGATATGATTTATTTGTACAGTTACCATTAAAGGTATATGAAGCAATTCCTTGTGGTTTAGTATTGCAGATAAGAGGACTCCCTGAATCCCCCTATGAATAAGATGGATAGAGAAATACATTAATATAACATAACATAATATAATGTAATATACCATACAAAAAGCATGTTTCCCATCTGAAACACTACAGATCATTCTCTCAGAGTTGAAGTATACAGCTGCCACATTTTTTCACATTTTGGAAAAAACCTTATAGACAACCCGCAATGGAGCAGTGAACATTAGCTGGTGTTTTTCCATTCTTCTTAAAAAGAGGCATAACTTTCACAAATTTGCTCAGCTTGGCTTTGTTCTTCAGCTGCAAATAGCATAATAATTTAAAGAGAGCAAACAAAGTGCATAAAATGGAGTTACAGATGAAGGTGAAAGTACCTTTAGTAACATGATATCATAGCTGTAGTCCATCTCCTTGTTCCGTTCAAACATAGGATGTCGGATGTATTTCCTCACTGGGATTCTCTACTGGCTCTTCTCCTTCTTCGTGATGTTGTGAGCTCCCAGAACAACCTCAAAGTGATCTCGACTAGAAGACACTACGACTGTGGAAAAAATCAAAACTGTTTAATGAAGGTATTTTGGTCTTAATGTCTTCATGAAATAAAAGGCTCAAGGCTCAAGGCAAGGCAAGTCTCAAATCTTTTTGAAAAGCATCATAACGCATCCTGGGACATACTCACTTCAAACAGTGGGCCGCTGTCAGTACATAATCCTCTCTGAGCAGCATCCCTCCACATGTGTGATGTTTATTGATCTGAATAGATGCCATGCATGGTCGGGAATGAAGTTCAGCCACTTTTCCTCCAATAATACCACTCTCCATCCCACCTTTGACAAAAAACAAACTCACACCATTACCAGATTACTTAAGTAGGAATTGGGCTTTTTAGGAGTCAAAGGAAGGTTGGAAGGCCACACATACTATAGAAATATATCGTATATAGTACTATAGAAGGGCCTAATGGTAATAAATTATCGACTTTTTAAGTTACAGATTTATTTATTTATTATTTTTTGAGCAGCAAATAATTTATGACTTATTTGAAACTGACCTGTGACATGCAATTCTTCTAAATGTAAATGTTAAACAAGAGTCCATCTACACTCTTAAAAATAAAGGTGCTTCAAAAGGTTCTTCAAGCGATGCCATAGAAGAACCATTTTTGGTTCCACAAAGAACCATTCAGTCAAAGGTTCTTTAAAGAACCATCTCTTTCTTACCTTTTTATAATCTGAAGAACCTTCTTTCGCCACAAAGAACCTTTTGTGAAACAGAAAGGTTCTTCAGATGTTAAAGGTTCTTTATGGAACCATTTAGACAAAAAGGTTCTTCTATGGCATCATGAAGCACCTTTATTTATACACCACATATCTTCTGATCACATTATGCTAGCAAAAAATGTTTACGGTGGTTTTTCTCTCTCTTCATCAAACCCTAAATCAGAGAACATTCAAAATAGACTTTTCTGTAAAAACACATTATATTTGAAAAGATGCATTTCAATCGCAGCACCTAATCATCCACATGAGCCGTTGGTGCTAGAAACCCGATGATTTCTGCTTGTGGCTATATTTAAAAATTGTACAAGTTCATAAATTTTTATTTAAACCATATTCTAGCTTCAAAAAATTTTTGCTCTTGAAAAAAAAAGATGCACAATACAAATTCAGAAAGAACAAAATGAATAACTTCTCACCAGCAAAAGGGATACCAAGGAGAAGAACGACGTAAGGAAACTTGATTGAGAAGTACAGTCTGAGTTTAAGCATTAAGTGAGAATGCTATTAAATTATTCAGACCCACTATCTGCGCTCACTAGTTATATCTCCTCCCCCTCTGAACCTCGAACAATAAATGTGTGTACAAAATAACAAAAGCAGCTTAAACCCAGGAGACAATGGTATACTGACTAACAAAGAGGTGTCACAGAAATAAAACAACTGAAATACTGCACTCAATCATAAGTACTGTTACAAGAGAAGAAATTAAATTAAGTAGTACCTTAATTCCAAATCTCATGTTTATTAAAAAACTTTTGATGGGCTGAAGTTTTGGTGTTCTGTTAAGATCACACACTGACTGATCAATGTAGTATTTTATTTGTGGTCAATGACTGAACGTTGCTTGTGGGAAGCAAAAAAAACACATTGTGTGACATCAAAAACGTACTGGCTTAAAAAACAGGTCAACAGGGGACCAAAAAAACTGTCTTTTGTTTTTTTTAAAGAGTAAATGTTTGTAACATACAAGAAGTGACTAATTATACATTTTGAAAGCTGTTTCTGCCCTCTATAGTGACATTTCTACTTCACATCCCTTTAGTATGGACATCTTAATATTTTCTATTTCCTGGCAATTTCTGTCATTTTATACTATTATTTCATATATGTAATATATTATTAACGTATGTAATGGTGCATATGCTTTGGTAATTTATACCTTTCAACATCAAAAAGGAACAATGTTCTGGAGCTTCCTGTGTGGACCAAAGTTGGACAGCTGATTTTATTTTTGGCTTAGGATTTGTATGACCTTTGCTTGATAAATCAAAAAAAAAATTGTACTTTGATTTGTTTTTCTCTATAATAACATTGTTTTTGAGATGCACGTTTGAATTCACAGTATCCCTCCTCCACCAAACTTTACAGCTGGCCCAGTGCAGTCAGGCAGGTAATGTTGGCATAACTCCAGTTAACTCCTGGCTTCCGCTAAACCCAGACTCGCCCATCAGACTGCCAAACAGAGAAGAGTGATCTGTCACTCCACAGAACATGTTCCCACTGCTCCAGAGTCCAGCGGTGGCAATAATTCTGACCACAAACGTATATTTCTGAACTGAATTATCACTGCCACGTGATTCTATATTCTGAGGTGAGCAGCAGATACAGAGTGACTTCCTGCAGCCCTTGATGCACTTTCTCCTTGTTAGTTAGAACCCAGCCAGCGACAGTCACATTAGCTAGACATTTGTTATCTGTCTTAGGAAGGACAATATAGTTCATGTAATTTTATCAAATCTGAAACAAATGTAGTCAGTTTTTTTATTAACAAATGGTGATACATTTCATTACATTTTATTAAATTACCAACCACAAAATGCTTTGGAATTTGTTATTCAGTCAACTATCAGATGAGAAAGCATGAGATGCATTTTACTTCATGTGATCACCTACAGTATGAACTCTTATCATCTCTGATATTCATCTGCCAGATAAATAAAGAGGCATCAGAGACCTGGTCATTGCCCAAATAGGATTTGAACTTTTGTATTTTAAATACTGAAATTTAAATGAATAGAATCAGCTTTACATATTTACAAGTGTAATAGTTTGTCGTCAATGAATGGATCCACATTCAATAAGACAGACCAACATTTCAAAATGCATTTCCTGAGAGACAGTATGAATATGACATATTGACATCTAACTAGAATGTTCTCAACTTTGGCTCAAATACACTACTCTAGTTTTCATACCTCCTTTCAGACCACATGCTTGCGCGCAAAGAAAGGGGCTTCATAAGTGAAATTTTCACAAGGTCAACCAGAGAGCACAGAGGTGTGAAATCACATGAGCAACAACAGGTTTCTGCAGAAACAGACCAATTTGATGAGTATCAAACAATCACACATAAACCCTACACAGTTAAAGTAACCATTATTTAAAGCAAAAATGTGTGCAATTAAGTTTGTTTTAGTTTGCCCATTTAAAAGCAAAAAAAGTGAAAGTGTGAAGCATGTAAAACTGCAATTATGTTTTCACTGTTGAATTGACTCTTTTTGTCATTACTATTTTAGGTAACAAGATTGATCAGGTTGGCCCTTGCAGCTATGATGGCAAATATATGGAGCCTAGAGTGGGCACAGAAAATAATTTCAACTGTGATCAGCTGTAGTCATTTTGATTAGCTCAGCATGAAAAGAGCTTTCCTGGAGCGTTTCAGTCCTTGGTAGTATAACTGAAGCAAACAATCAGCTATGGGTGGCAAGGCACTGTCAAAAGATCTCCGAGATAAAGTTGTGGACAGGCACAAGTCAGGAGATAGATACAAAACAAATTCAAAGGCTTTATCAATGCCTAGAAACACAGTGTATTGTGGTAGTATTATTAAGAAAAAAAGGAACAATGTTCTGGAGCTTCCTGTGTGGACCAAAGTTGGACAGCTGATTTTATTTTTGGCTTAGGATTTGTATGACCTTTGCTTGATAAATCAAAAAAAAAATTGTACTTTGATTTGTTTTTCTCTATAATAACATTGTTTTTGAGATGCACGTTTGAATTCACAGTATCCCTCCTCCACCAAACTTTACAGCTGGCCCAGTGCAGTCAGGCAGGTAATGTTGGCATAACTCCAGTTAACTCCTGGCTTCCGCTAAACCCAGACTCGCCCATCAGACTGCCAAACAGAGAAGAGTGATCTGTCACTCCACAGAACATGTTCCCACTGCTCCAGAGTCCAGCGGTGGCAATAATTCTGACCACAAACGTATATTTCTGAACTGAATTATCACTGCCACGTGATTCTATATTCTGAGGTGAGCAGCAGATACAGAGTGACTTCCTGCAGCCCTTGATGCACTTTCTCCTTGTTAGTTAGAACCCAGCCAGCGACAGTCACATTAGCTAGACATTTGTTATCTGTCTTAGGAAGGACAATATAGTTCATGTAATTTTATCAAATCTGAAACAAATGTAGTCAGTTTTTTTATTAACAAATGGTGATACATTTCATTACATTTTATTAAATTACCAACCACAAAATGCTTTGGAATTTGTTATTCAGTCAACTATCAGATGAGAAAGCATGAGATGCATTTTACTTCATGTGATCACCTACAGTATGAACTCTTATCATCTCTGATATTCATCTGCCAGATAAATAAAGAGGCATCAGAGACCTGGTCATTGCCCAAATAGGATTTGAACTTTTGTATTTTAAATACTGAAATTTAAATGAATAGAATCAGCTTTACATATTTACAAGTGTAATAGTTTGTCGTCAATGAATGGATCCACATTCAATAAGACAGACCAACATTTCAAAATGCATTTCCTGAGAGACAGTATGAATATGACATATTGACATCTAACTAGAATGTTCTCAACTTTGGCTCAAATACACTACTCTAGTTTTCATACCTCCTTTCAGACCACATGCTTGCGTGCAAAGAAAGGGGCTTCATAGGTGAAATTTTCACAAGGTCAACCAGAGAGCACAGAGGTGTGAAATCACATGAGCAACAACAGGTTTCTGCAGAAACAGACCAATTTGATGAGTATCAAACAATCACACATAAACCCTACAGTTAAAGTAACCATTATTTAAAGCAAAATGTGTGCAATTAAGTTTGTTTTAGTTTGCCCATTTAAAAGCAAAAAAAGTGAAAGTGAAAAGAGCTTTCCTGGAGCGTTTCAGTCCTTGGTAGTATAACTGAAGCAAACAATCAGCTATGGGTGGCAAGGCACTGTCAAAAGATCTCCGAGATAAAGTTGTGGACAGGCACAAGTCAGGAGATAGATGCAAAACAAATTCAAAGGCTTTATCAATGCCTAGAAACACAGTGTATTGTGGTAGTATTATTAAGAAGTGGAAGGTATTTGGTTCAACACAGACCCTCCCTGGATCAGTTGCACTGAGTAAATACAGCCTGACAAAACAAAAACTGTGTCCGTCTTTATTTAAGGCTGCAAAGCAACAAAATGTGATCATTTTAAAGTGGGGTGATTCTTTTCTATACCCACTGTACATGCATTAGCAAACTTAAATGCAGATTAACAAGTGGTTAAAAAAAAGTATAAAAGTGAAACAACAAAAACACCTTTAATGTAAGAACCCAGATTATTTATTTATTTGTTTGTTTAATTTTAACCAATGTTCTTTTTAATCCAGGGGAGGAAGTAGGAGGTTTTTACATAAACTTGAGGATATGATTTATTTGTACAGTCACCATTAAAGGTATACGAAGCAATTCCTTGTGGTTTAGTATTGCAGATAAGAGGACTCCCTGAATCCCCCTATGAATAAGATGGATAGAGAAATACATTAATATAACATAATATAATAGAATATAATAGAATAGAATAGAATAGAATAGAATAGTATACCAAACAAAAAGCATGTTTCCCATCTGAATTACTACAGATCATTCTCTCAGAGTTGAAGTATTGCTGCCACTTGTTTTTACATTCAGTGCTGAACTGCAGTTTGAGATTGAGGGTGATTCTTTTCTATACCCACTGTACATGCATTAGCAAACTTAAATGCAGATTAACAAGTGGTTAAAAAAAAAGTATAAAAGTGAAACAACAAAAACACCTTTAATGTAAGAACCCAGATTATTTATTTATTTATTTGTTTAATTTTAACCAATGTTCTTTTTAATCCAGGGGAGGAAGTAGGAGGTTTTTACATAAACTTGAGGATATGATTTATTTGTACAGTCACCATTAAAGGTATACGAAGCAATTCCTTGTGGTTTAGTATTGCAGATAAGAGGACTCCCTGAATCCCCCTATGAATAAGATGGATAGAGAAATACATTAATATAACATAATATAATAGAATATAATAGAATAGAATAGAATAGAATAGAATAGTATACCAAACAAAAAGCATGTTTCCCATCTGAATTACTACAGATCATTCTCTCAGAGTTGAAGTATTGCTGCCACTTGTTTTTACATTCAGTGCTGAACTGCAGTTTGAGATTGACTTCCCGCATCACATCTGATGCCTGGTTTCCTTTTGGGGTTTTCAACCCCCAACCCGCAATGGAGCAGTGAACATTAGCAGGTGTTTTTCCATTCTTCTTAGGAAAAGGCATAACTTTCACAAATTTGCTCATCTTGGCTTTGTTCTTCAGCTGCAAATAGCAAAGTAATTTAAAGAGAACAAAGTGCATAATATAGACAGTGTTGGGAGTAACTCATTACAAAAGTAATAATATTACAGTAGTAGGCCTATATTACTTTTTGCTGTAACGCAGTAATATAACGCATTACTAATACAATTTGGGTAATATTATTACTCGTTACAATCTCAGTAACGCAAGTTACAACAACATATTTTAACTCAAAATTAAGTGGTGAATTTACCAACACCACAAAACAGCACCAGAGAAAAAATTCCGCGGGTAAACTAGTTTGTCTATTTCCTGTTGCTAGAATTAGATGGTTGAGATGACTGCAGAGACGGATTCTACATTTGTGTGATGGACACACTCCTGTTATTTTCAGTTCATCAGAGAAAAGGATAAGTCTGCATAGTCAGGTGCAATATGTGCGACACCAAACTCTCAACATGGAGAAATAGCACGAGTAAAACCTGGAAACACCTGGAGTCTCATTTATAAAACACTTTGTAGATTCCATCCTAAAAGTGTACGTAGGCACAAAAGCTAGATTTTGCGTACGCTCAAAGGTTTTCAGATTTATAAAAACATGCGTACGCCAGAACCTGCGCAAAAATCCCTTTATAATTCCCAGTCAGGGGAAGATTGTGCGTACGTGCATCTCCACCCCGTCTCCTCCCCGTAATCACCATATATGGAGCTTTCAACGCCTAGTTTTACTATGCATAACCTCATCTACATATAAATTCTATGCATATTCCCATCCACGTGACACCATGTTTAACACAGTCAAAGGTACAAGACATTAAAGCGTTAGTTCACCCAAAAATGAAAATTCTGTCATTAATTACTCACCCTCATGTCGTTTCAAACTTGTAAGACCTTCGTTCATCTTCGGAACACAAATTAAGATATTTTTGATGGAATCTGAGAGCTGTCTGACCCTCCATAGACAGCAACGCAACTGAAATGTTCCCAAGTCCAGAAACGTAGCAAGGAGATGGGTAAAATAATCCATGTGACATCAGTGGTTCATCCGCAATTATACGAAGCTACGAGAATACTTTTTGTGCGCGAAAGGAAAAAAAAACTACGTTATTCAACAATTCGACTGCCGCTCTGCTCCAGAGTGTGAAACTCGCTAGACTGTGAAACGTAGAAAAATGGCTTTAACGATTTTTATTTGTCCAGAAAAAAAAGAATTATGGGTAGGACACTGGAAATCTGGCAATTAGATGTTTTAATGAAAATGATCTCAAACTTGATTTTTACCGCTATTTTGAAGTTATTGTAGGTACTCTGCCTTTGCACTGTCTGCAAAAAGTGAGATGTCACGCCAAGGCAAAAGGCAGTAGCCACATTATATACAATATTTGGGTGCTGATCACCATTTACAGAATCATTATAGTAACATAGCCAGGTTAGGTTCACTCTGACTCTGAGTATAAGTTACCCCTCTTTCAGAAACGGGCTTGACTTACCCTGCTTTCTCGGGTTTGACATACCTCACATTCTGAAACGGAAAACCCAGAGTTTCCCTCATTTCAGGGTTAACATAGTTTTCGTATACCTCCTTTCTGAAACGTGCCCTTGTATGACCAAAAATGAAGAAGTATTTTTGTTGTTTGTTTCTGCTGTTCGATCACGCCGGCGCCTCACACACACACATACAGCATTGCAAACGTTGCAGCCTGTTCATTATCAGAATAAAATACAGTCAACCAAACATATAGATACACTGGTTAATTTAAATGAGTGCGTACTGCGTAGAAGGCTACAATCCGTGCCGTTTGGGCCAAACACACATTTGCTCATGTGACGAGGATGTTTTTAAGTGCTTTAAGCCTGGTTTACATAATAAATAATAGTTTAGCATTCAAATAAATCGCAAATATGGACACATTTAATTGGATTAATGCCGAATAAGAGAGGTAGGCTGCGCGAGAACGCCGTTTGCTTTCAGTTTCGCATTGAATTAGCCTAATTAGTTTTGGCTTGTTTAGCAAATTTTTTCATTCTTGTTTTCTTCTGAAACCGTTCAAAATAGCTAGGCTAGGTATTGTGTTTATTAGTTGTACATTATAACATTTCGCTTTATTTAATGGTGTTATTTATGAATGTAATAATGCGGTTTGTGCTTATCTGTGTTTAACCTAAACTACAACGTAACATTAATGTAGACCTACATAACGGTATCTAAATATGATTTTATAATTTTATGCTGTATAGACCTACCACATTACCCTGCACTGGATGTGGAATTAGCAGCAATAAACTACATTTTGGCATTTTATAATACTTTTGGTGAAAGTAACTCAAAAGTAGTGTAATGCATTACAATTCAGAGACAGTAATATTGTAATGTAACTAATTACTTTCAAAAGACAGTAACTAGTAAAATATAATGTATTACATTTTGGAAGTAACTTGCCCAACACACTGAATACAGAGTTACAGTAGGTGAAGGTGAAAGTACCTTTAGTAACATGATATCATAGCTGTAGTCCATCTCCTTGTTCCGTTCAAACATAGGATGTCGGATGTATTTCCTCACTGGGATTCTCTGCTGGCTCTTCTCCTTCTTCGTGATGTTGTGAGCTCCCAGAACAACCTCAAAGTGATCTCGACTAGAGAAGACACTACGGCTGTGGAAAAAAAATCAAAAATTGATTTTCAAATCAAGTAATTGAATAACTAAAACAGATTTACAGATAAACTAAAAGTATTGAGGCTACAACATTCTTTTTGAAAAGCATCATAAGTAATCCTTCACATGCAGCCTGGGACATACTCACTTCAAACAGTGGGCCGCTGTCAGTACATAATCCTCTCTGATCAGCATCCCTCCACATGTGTGACGTCTATTGATCTGAATAGATGCCATGTATGGCCTGGAATGAGGTTTAGCCTCTTTTCCTCCAATAATACCACTCTCCATTCCACCTGTGACAAAAACATGAGTAACTCACACCAGACTATTTAAATTATATTCTAGCTTTAAATATTTAATAGTTTTCCAACATTTTTACTTAAAAAAAAAATACAAATTCTGAAAAAAAGGAATGAATGATATCTTACCAGCGTACTTTGCATTACTTTTGTATGGACAAATTAATCTTTGCAGTTACCTAGCTGGAACATTTCATTTCATAACATTTTATATATAATGGTATGATAATCTACCTTTCATCATCAAGAATCAACAATGTTCTGTAACTTCCTGTGGACCAAAGTTCTACAGATGCTTTTATTTTTGACTTAGGACTGTACAGGTTTTGCTTGAAAAAAACATTATTATTTGCATTTTAATTTAATAACTTTCATTTTGTGAGATGTAAATTCGCTTTTTAAAATGTATATGCAAATTAAGAAGGCTAGTCCAATAAGTAGGTTATTTCATAGAGGACCTTAGTGGACCCACTTGTTCTCCCTGAAGACAGCCTTGGAAGCAATACAGAGAAAAGGTCAAATAAATTATTCTTAACCATTTGAATGACATTCCATATGGAAATAGCATCAGGGACTAGCTAAAAATTAGTAAAAGAGCTTTTTAGGCTAAAACACATGATAGATCATTTACATGCATAAATGATGCTATTTCAATCACTTAATGTTTTTCTTAATCCACAGGAGGAAGGCAGATATTTTCATATAGACTTCAGGGTATTTCTTGTATGTACAGTCATAAGGATATGTGTATGCAGCCATTCCTTTAAGTTCAGAGTCACAAAAAAGAGGACTGCCAGAATCACCCTAAAGAAACAAAGGAAAGACTTCAAATGTAGTCTGCCACAATGTGAATTTATGTGAAATATAAGATGACATACATTTTTTGCTAATTATCAAGTGATAGTTCAGTACCTGACAGAACGCCCTTTTCCCATCCGAGACACTACAGATCATTTTCTCAGAGTTGAAATGGTGTTTCCACTTGTTTTTGCATTCAAAGCTGAACTGCAGTTTGAGGCTGACTTCCCACAGCACATCTGATGCTCTTCCTCCGGGTTTTTTCATGCCCCAGCCAGCAATGGAGCATTCCACATGGGCAGGAATATCCTCATTGTTCTTAGGTAGCTCAATAACATCCACAAACTCATTTCGTACGGCTTTGGTCTTCATCTGTAACATATTAGTCAGTGAATACCTCTATAAAATAAAATAAAATAATAATTTACGATCCACCCAAAAAAAGGACAATTTGAGCACCAATAATACCTTTAGTAACATGATATCATAGGTCAAGCCATCATTTTCATACTTAGGATGTCTGATGTACTTGTCTACTTGGATAATCTGCTGGCTGTCCTCGTTCTGGCTAATATTGTGAGCTCCCAGAACAACTTCTAAGAAGTTGGTGGTCTTGCTGTGAAAACATTTATTGTTCAGGTTATTTTAAGAGGTGACAACTGCAGAGCATCATTTTAGTACACGGTTTAAAAAAAATCCAGATAAAGACTACAATACCTCATCATGTTCAAATACTAATATATTAATTGTATATACTCACTCCAAACAGTGAGCCGATGTCAGCACATAATCATCACTAATCAGCATCCCTCCACACTTATGTTGTCTTCTATACTGGAGAGATGCCATGTATGGTCTGGAATGAGGTTTAACCTCTTTGCCTCCTACAATACCACTCTCTAATCCTCCTGTGATCATGATACAAGAGGTTTTTATTTTAATTTATTTTAATAAATCACTGAAACTGCTTGCAAGACATTGATAAAAAAAAATGTGGAAACAAACAGAAATATGTCTCAATGTATTAATAGTATTCAATTAAAACATTCCCTCCCAAAAGAATCGGCCTTATTGATGCAAGACGTGAATGTCTTACCGGACAGAGAGAAGACAGACAGCAGGAGACAGACGGTGAGCAGCATGATGTACGACTGTGCTGATGCAGGAATGAAACAAGCAGAATTTGACCTACAGTGTGGTCTATAATATGTGACAAGAGTATGTAGGTCAGAGACTCTTCTCACCTATATACTCGCACATTATGAAAGCACACAATGGAAATTTGTAGGGGAAAGATCTCACTTGCATGTATTAATAACAGCGAGTTCTCAGAAAAAATGTATTTAAAAAAATACAGTGAACATCTAAAAACCCAAAAAATTCAGTCATCATTTACTCTTCCATATCATTCCAAACCTGCATTACATGCTTTCTTCTGCAGAACACAAAAGGAGATATTTTGAAGAATGTTGGAAACCAAATAGTTTTGGTGACCATTGACTTCCATTATACGGACCAAAAAAAAATTATTTTTCAAAATATCGCCTTTATGCTTTGACAGAAGAAAGTCATACAAGTTTGAAACAACATGAGGGTGAGTAAATAATGACAGAATTGTCATTTTATTTGGTTGGACTATCTCTTTAAGAACTATGTGAACAATATAACCTCCACATTAATGCAAGTTGTGAGATTAAGGCTGTGATGTCGTTTTCTGTGGCAATTGTGATGGCAATGAACTTTTGGCCCACAAACACATTCATACTCTGAGTCAGCTTTACCATAAAGTCTAATTCTGACGTATCATTTGAGTCTGTTCTTAAGTTTCCACCATTTTTTTTAATGTATGACAAGTGGTTCCTACAGGCTTTGTTTCAGTTGCAATAAGAATCATGGAGTTATTATAGAATCTCCCCTCCCACTCTAAAAAAACAACATAACATATTGCAAAATAGTGTTGAAATTTATTGAAATTTTCATAAACACACATGAAAAAAAAAGTTATTTTAACTCAAATGTTAACCTTGCCTCATCCTACGGAGTCAGACTGAATTTACAGAATTATAAAAGCAGGTTACTTTCTTTACAAAAATTAATAAATAAACCACTGCATTTATGGCTGTTTATGCCCCAAATTAAAGACCGAGATCATCATAGGCCAACGACCCTGAAGCCTCCAGCTGACCTTGTGCTATATGGCTCCAGAACCTTATTCTAGGCACTCTGTTCTAAGACAGTTGGTGATTTCAAGAAAAGCAGTTTGGCTTTATCAGCTCAGCTTTCCTTCTTCTTGGTCTTTATGAAGGGCTGGTGCAGTACATCATAAAGCCTTCTTGCCTAAATGAACCACAAACAGGACAGGAAATTAAGACATACCTTTGGACAAGTTTAAAGTGTCAAATGCACTTACTGTTAAAGTTCATGAGCAATAATAACATATGTTAAACTATGTACAGTAACACATGTAAACTGATATCAGATGCTACATATAAAGCCAACTGCTCAAAATATATCAAAGTGTCTCTGCACACCTTTTGTGGACCAAGTCCAGGACACAAAACCAGTTCTTCCTTAGAGGCCTTAATGATTCCCTCCAAAGACTGAAGAGATAAAATGGAATCAACGTAAAAGAACATACAATTGATACAATTACATATTTCAAGATTATTGGCAATTGGTTTTATATACACAAAACCAAAAGTTTAAGGTGGTAAGATTGATTGATTGATTGATTGATTGATTGATTGGGAAAAAGTATCTAACTCTGCATAATTATTTGATCATTATACAATTACATATTTCAAGATTATTGGCAATTGGTTTTATATACACAAAACCAAAAGTTTAAGGTGGTAAGATTGATTGATTGATTGATTGATTGATTGGGAAAAAGTATCTAACTCACCAAGTCTGCATAATTATTTGATCAAAAATGTGAATTTAAAAGAACTGTTTTCCATTTTAATATATTTTAATTTAAAATGTCACATATTCCTGTGATTGCAAAGCTGATTTTTCAGCAGCCATTACTCCAGTCTTCAGTGTCACATGACAGAAATCAATTTAATATGCTGATTTTGTGTTCAAGTAACATCTCTTTTTATTATCAATGTTGAAAACAGTTGTGCTGCTTAATATCTTTGTTGAAATTGATAAAAAAAAATTCTAAGTCTTTACTGTCACTTTTGATTAATTAAATGTGTCCCTGTTGAATAAAACTAATCATTTCTGTAAAAAAAAATCTTACTGACCTCAAACATTTGAACAGTAGTGTAAGTAATGCAGTAAATGTGCAACATATCAAGGAAAATAATTCCTTACAGAAAACGTAGACAGGAGAGTCATGGCATCTGTCTTATTGACAGACTTCACTGTGGTTAAACAATCTGTAACCTGTCAAACAAAAAAGGAAGTATTAAATATGACCAAAAAAACAAAACAATTATAGGAATGATGTCATCAGTGTATGATTAAATGAACCAAACATAATCATTTTAGATGTATTAGGTTTTTGTGCTCTAACCTGGGACAAGTAATTTTTCTCCACTTGTTCTTTCAGAACATCTGCAGGTTTTTTCTCGTAGGATTTATATGTCTCAAGGTAACGGCCTGCTTCTTCAGGACTTACACACACAAACAGATATGTTTAATTATACGAACTGAATTGAAGCACTAAAAAGAACAGGGTTTGAACTTTAAAGGGGTCATATGATGTTGCTAAAAATAACATTATTTGGTATATTTGGTGTAATGAAATGTGTTTATGCGGTTTAAGGTTCAAAAAACACATTATTTTCCACATACTGTACATTGTTTCTCCTCTATGCCACGCCTTTCTGAGACGCGTCAATTTTTATAAATCTCATCGGTCTGAAAAACGAGGTGTGCTCTGATTGGCCAGCTATCCAGTGCGTTGTGATTGGCCGAATACCTCAAGCGTGTGACGGAAATGTTATGCCCCTTGCCATATTGTGATGATGCCCTGTCCGGCCGGAGCGACGAGACAAAAACATTAAAACCCATTATAAACGAGGCATTTGTTGCATCCAGTGGGGACATAATTACGGATTATGATTTATACTGTCTTTTTACACGTTGCATTACGCAACGTAAACATAAAACCATGTCTGCATTTGTGATCGAAGAAATGACAAACAACAAGCGCTACTCTACACTGCTCAAAACTCGTGTTTGAATCGTCAGTGGCAAATTCTTTAGATATAAAAAGAGTCAGAACATTATCTTAAAGTGTAGCAAGAGGTTCCTGTCTGTTCCGGTTTCTCTTATAGTTAGTCAAATTAACCAAATTACTGAGAAACTCACCTTTTGTTCGTAATGGCTCTTGGTGCCTCTGTCCCAGTCTTTGAGTAGTTATGCTGATTGGATTAGCACCTATGCATTTGAATGACACTGTTATGCTGATGAGATCAGGGCTGGAGAAATTCCGGTAACGGGCTGATTCATGTATTCCATTTGCATGCTTTGTTTAGATTGTCGCCACCTCTACTGAATGAATCCCGCCCCCTTAAAATGTATATAAACTCTACTGTGCTGAGCTATAGTCAGACTTGGATGACTGCAGCGACGCACAGTGAGTCCTCAATAAAGAGTGACTTCTGTATGAAAGATATCCCAACGTCTCCTGGTTTCTGCTTTGACGAGGAAAAAGTTTCCTACAGTTTTGGTGCCGTGACCCGGATAGAGCTCCTCACCTGAATCCAGATTGAAACTTCAAGCTCAACAAAGATCTGACTTGGTTCCAGACTGAATCTTTCTGTACAACCAAGGGTTGGTGAGTTCCACTCTATCCAAAAGAACCTTTAAGACCAGTACAAATGTGTTATCCTCTGCGCCGTCAGAGAAGAGTTAACAGACAGCTGTAGGGTTTGGTTAACTAAGTTATCCTCTAAAATATTTATTTTAGAGATGA